GCCTCCCTCCACGGTCAGAGCACGTGTGCGGTCTCTTTCCCGCATCTGTTCTGGCACCTAAATAAAAGTTGAGCTTACGCTGCCATCTTCCCTTTGAACAAAGGACTCATACTGCCTCTGTCTGCCTTCCAGTTGCCTATTCCTATAAGGCTCATAGCAAGTTAATTATTTTTGAGACATTCCCTTCCCCTCCACTCCATTTGCCAAAAATGACCAAAGTCTGCCAGCAGATTCAAAAGTAATTAGGGGAAGACACACAGGCAGCGAGGTTACCCCAGACACCTTTCCTTTGGAAACCAGGCTAAAACCCACAGCATTGTATCTATTAAAAGTCCCCTGAAATCAGATTTGTGATTGCTGTACTTCTGTTATTGGCAATATGGTAGATTTTTAAAACAATTTTTGGAGGATTTACATTTGGTTTCTACAAATCACATTGATTTCACCCCTTCTAGGCACAAGCCAGCCATTTCTGAACACATCTCTTAGAGGGGGATGATAAGCACTTACCTGCCTCAGATGTGGTGTCTGTGCAAACACAAACAGTGGTTTGAAGATCTTTAAAACATTGCTCTACCTAAAACATAATTATCATAAATATTGCTCTACGTTTAGAGCATATACATTTTATTCTTTTTGAATGGCTGCAACCTTTGAAAACAGAAGCACAATGGAGATCTAATTCTCAGATATATTTAAGTGTGATACAGAGGAAAGAATTCATTTAGCAGATCTTTCGCCAAGTTAGCTTTCTGCTGCAGTTTAACTCAATAATTAGTAAAAGAGCATATGTTATTGGACAGTTCTGTTGCTTTCAAGAATAGCTGACAAAGATATAATGGGCTGGAAAAAGTGTCAAGCAGGCCTTTCTCAAACATTTCCTTCTCCGTCAGCGCTCACTGGATAAAAATGTATCTCCTTACCCCTTGAATTCATCTCACTCATGCCACCACATACTGAAAGGCCTGACGGAAACTCAGCCAATGCTTCCCACGCATCCAGACCCTTTCATCTTCCTGTTCCCTCCTGCCTTGCTGAAACCTCACCAGCACACTCACACACGCTGCTTGTTGACCCGCAACGTGAGAAAAACCTGCATTGCTGCTGCCCCCTCACTGCAGGGGGCAGGGTGGTTGGGATGCCAGCTATCTTAGATATCCAGGGGTGGCACGTGCACTTCACGCAAGGTGGGAAAGTACAGGAGGCTACGGAAAATAAGTGCTAACTCTTTGGTCTTTGAAGAGGACAGGCAGTGCAAGAAAGGTGCGTACACCCCATGCAAGCATTGCGGACCCTCTCGCCTCCCCACAAATGTATATTGGAAGATAATTTTTGGGCACAAAACCATACTTACATGCAGGGCAGCAGTACAAGGGGCCACTGCCTGCTTCCCCACACCTTCCTTCCCCCCATCGCAGTCCTGCAGCACGGGCAGAGCATCGGGGATGCACACTAAGTGTTAAATAAATTAATCTGTCAGCTGGGTGGAAAAAAGCCCTGTTTCCCAAGTCGTCAAACAATGATCGGCTGCCAAATTGCCTGGAATAAGCAACCCAAGCAGCGTTGTCTTCTTAATTATAAAAGATTCTTATCGGCTTACCTGAATGCGTTTCGGACTTCCCCTAGTGCCCTAATTTAATTCTTTAATTATGAGGAATTAAGAGCAGTATTTTCAATAAATGCTGAGAGGGTTGCTGCTCCCTCACATATACCCAGTAAGTGTTATATTACGGATTTAGCTAAGGTGCGCTGTGATTGTGGCAAAGTTTTACACTTCTAGCCAGTATTTGGGTATAGATAAGTGGACAGAAAGGCCTGTAACTAGCGGTGTTCCCCAGGGGTCAGTACTGGGTCCAGTCTTATTCAACATATTCATCAATGACCTGGATGAAGGGACAGAGTGCACCCTCAGCAAGTTTGCTGATGATACTAAACTGGGAGGAGTGGCTGACACACCAGAAGGCTGTGCTGCCATCCAGTGAGACCTGGACAGGCTGGAGAGCTGGGGGGAGAGGAACCTGATGAGGTTCAACAAGTGCAGGGTCCTGCACATGAGGAGGAATAACCCCATCATGCACAAGTACAGGTTGGGGGTCAACCTGCTGGAGAGCAGCTCTGCGAAGAAGGACCTGGGAGTTGTGGCAGACAAGTTAACCATGAGCCAGCAACCAAGAAGGCCAATGGTGTCCTGGGGTGCATTAAGAAGAGTGTGGCCAGCAGGTTCACAGGGAGGTTCTCCTCCCCCTCTGCTCTGCCCTGGTGAGGCCACATCTGGAGTCCTGTGTCCAGTTCTGGGGCCCCCAGTTCAAGAGGGACAGGGAACTACTGGAGAGAGTCCAGCGGAGGGCTACAAAGATGATGAGGGGACTGGAACTTCTCTCCTACAAGAAAAGGCTGAGAGACCTGAGGCTCTTTAGCCTGGAGAGAAGGCTGAGAGGCGACCTCATCAACATTGGTAAATATCTAAAGGGTGGGTGTCAAGAGGATGGGACCAGGCTCTTTTCAGTGGTGCCCAGCAACAGGACAAGAGGTAACAGGCACAAAACAGAGCACAGGAAGTTCTGCCTCAACGTGAGGAAAAACTTCTTTACTCTGAGGGTGACAGAGCCCTGGAACAGGCTGCCCAGGGAGGTTGTGGAGTCTCCTTCCCTGGAGATATTCAAAATCCGCCTGGATGCAGCCCTGTGTGACCTGCTGTAGGTGAACCTGCTTGAGCAGGGGGTGGGACTAGATGATCTGCAGAGGTCCCTTCCAACCCCTGCCATTCTGTGATTCTGTGATTTCCTTTTCCGGGAAGCATTCATGTTGCAAGACTCTTTCTAACTTGTCAATGTCTCTTTTCATACTCAAAACTGCAAACTACCTACACAGATATGAAGTGTGAAATTAAAAATAATCACCGCTTACTGTCCGTTGTGTATGTTTTACACACAATAGAAGAATTCAAATGAGAAAAGTAGTCAGAAAAAACAACATTTAATTATAAAAGAGCTTTTTAAATGAAAAAAAGATAATGGCACTAAACCAGAAACAAAGTTTTTAAAGAGATCATAGCCACAGGGTGGTTGTAATTTTATACTGAAACTGTACAGCTGTTCCTATCATCTGCACTTTGCCCCTGATTAAAATAACATCTAGAGTTCCAGTAACAAGTAATCTTTTACAGAACTATAATGCATTATGAAAACACACATCATTTTTGTATTACATGACAAAAAAGCCTTACATTTATTACATTAGATTCATAAATATTTACGTAAGCATTGTACTGGTTTTCTACTCTACTCCTTACATTTAGAGAACAGGGAGTGTGGTTTGTTCTACTGACAAAACTGATTTGTCTTACAGGGTTCTCCCACAGTAGCACAGTGCTGCACCACATAGGGGTACCCAACTAGATGGAGCATCGAGGGCAGTACAGTCACATCAGAACAATTTCCTGTTTCATTCATCCTGCTTTTGAGAATCTTTCAGTGCTTCCTTTCCATACAAAGACAGCCTTTGACATTAAAAAACAATAAATACTTATGCCCCCCAAATTGTTCGTATGCTGTAGATAACTAATCAGTAGATGTCTAATTTTTCTATGACCTTTCTGTTTCACTGCTTATATATAAAAGGGAGAGTTCCAGTGGTTACTTTGGGAACACAGTCAGGGCCAGTATCCAAAGCTCAGCAGAAAGGCCCTTTATTCCTTTAATCAGCTTTGATCACATAAAAAAATGTAATTCAGTCCTTGATTGTATGTAGAATATTCCCTATGAGGTCAATATAATTCTGTGTGTGCGCTGAAAGAAAATATTTAATTCCAAGAACATAATTTCACAGTAGTTATTTCAGGTAGTCAGCACACAGGTGTGAGCACTTAAGCACGGCTGAGCTCGCTTACAAATAAATTGTAAAGCAGTACAGAAGTTAGTGAGCCCAGAGTGTTGCTGTGGGACTGGGGCTCTGGAGCTTCAGTCCACAGCTCTCTGTGCTGCAGCAAGCCACGTCAGTCTATAATTCATTATCTGTGAATTCCATGGGGACCTTTCAGTCCTTCCCTGCAGAGAGAAAGATTTGCAATAGTTCACCATTGGACTATTAATTTTTTAACTGGTTTAGACAGCATCTATCAGCGTAAGGGAAATCAGAACTTGACTTCTACCGTCGTCCAGGACAGACCAGACATAAAACTGATGGTAGATCATATCAAAAAAGCCTATGTGAACTCCACAGTGGACCTTTACACTGATTTTGAGTGAAAGGTTTGGTCATTTGCTACCTATGAAGCTTAGGCTACAGCTTCCCTCTACAGTTATTTTATTCTTCCTGAAAGTTTTATTGTGCTAGTAATTGGCAGGTTTTGGCAGTTCACAAAATGCAATCTATCAGCTGTCCAAAAAACCTGAAAACAGTGTATGTATCATGGCTACATATCATTGCTGAAAAACCTAAAGGTCTTTCTAGTGCATGACAATATTCTAGAAAGAACACTGCCAAGAGTGGTGAGCTTAAACGACTCACCTTGTCACATGGTCCTTTCTATTTTCTCTTTTTTTTTTTTTTTTTAATAATCTCAAGAATACAATCAACTGGAGTAAGAAATATTTAAAAGATCTAGCAAAAAAGCTGCATAGAAAGCATTTTCACAGTTGTTTTTAAATATTTTCATCAAACTTTACCTAGAAAGTGAACAAAATTAGGACTTCCAAAGACAAGATGTATTGCGTTGCAGTTTTTTTCCTGTGAATTTCACATTTACTTGGGAAATTCATATGACTGGTTTTAGCTATTTTTAATACTGAACCATTCAGAAGTGCTGATCAGGATTTGGTTCTCCAGTGTACTAGCACTGTAAAGACTTACGTGAACACAATTCTACACGAACAGATTGTAGATCTCTAATACAAAGAGGTTAAACATCTGTTTGAAAAATAAATTCTTCTGAAACCAGATATACCAGATGGGAGGTAGATTAGTGCCATTAAAATATTTAAGGTACTTATTTCAAATACGAGTGGGAAAACTGTGCTATCTCCAAAATTTTGCTGCAACTAAAACTGAAAATTTACTGGTAATCACTGTTGGGTTTCCATTGCTTTTTTTTTTTTTAAAAAAACTGGTTAAGGTTCTATTAATATATAGAACAGTTGAATGCTGAAAGGACACACTATCCCTTTGAAACATTCAGCCTTACAAAGTAAGTCCACAGGTTGTTCTTTTGCCATTAGTTGTGAGCTTAGCTCTGCTTAGATTTTATAACCCACTCAGCATTTGGGTTGAGCTGGTATAAGTCCTTCATGTAGGTATCATCATCAAGGCAGCGTTCTCCTAGAAACAGAAGAGACATGTGGTTACATCAGTACCAAGAAAAGAAAGGAAACAACTTTCAAGGTTCCTGTCACTGTTTTATTCCATTTAGGTTTTCAAGCCCTCTCTGTGGTACTAAACAAAGAACAACACAGCCAAAATCTACAAGTGCCCTTACCCTTCCCATCTGTCTTGGGAAGGAAGGGGGACAGAGGAAGAAGGAAGGAGAGCAGGGGCTGTGCCGCCTCTGTGGCACGTTCTAGGTCAGAAGTGTCACATGGACCACGGATATGGGAGCTCCCCTCTGCAAAGGTTTAGGAAAAAAAGGAGCAATGCCCTCGTCCTCTCGTGGTTAAATCCAAACACTAGGTACACATTTGCACAGAACCCCATTAAAATTTCAGGTTATTTTCCCCTTCTTAAATGGAAAGTTTGAGCAAGGTTTGTCCTTGCTAAGGTGGTGTTACTCCCTATCCTGCTTCTCTTGGTCAGCAGTTCTGCATAGCACTTGTAATGGTTACTGTCCTAGGAGGAAAAAGTGGTACAGTGTTCTTGGTGTTGCAAGCAATTAATTTCTGTCTAGTAGCTATGATGAAAATAGCATATGCTGATCCATCAAGATCTGCGTAGTCTTCCCGTTCCCCTACAGGCAAAGCATTATCTCATGCATTTGCAGCTCCACATCACAGCCCCTCCCCTACTCCACTGCGCAAGCGGTTGGGGTGGATGCCTCATGTGCCAGCCAGATGTTTTCAGCAGATGTGCTCCCGAAGCAGAAGGCAAGCAGAGGTGCGACACTGCAGCTGGGTTTGTCTGCCAGCTCTTTGGACTCCCTGCGCAGAGCAGGCAAGAAGGCAAGACGGCAAGACTCCCTGCTCAACCAGGCTTGGTCTCCATCTGCTCCCTCTCCAACTGATCTCCTTGCCAGATGGCAGCCTGTCTTCCCTCTAGTTTTGTCCCAATGTACATGACCTGTACCGCCCACACTGCTGAACTAGGCCCTCTCCCCCACACAGTGCAGCATGTTCAGGCAGTGAGTGCAGGGACAGTGGTTTGCCAGGTCGCCATCCAGTCCTGTTCAGTGCCCTGAATCCCTACAGT